TTGTTCTGCAACATGGTACGAAAAGGTGGATGTGCATCTACATTCAAGAGATTGCCGGTGAGGACGGCCTTGATGAGCTCGTCTGCTTTAGCTGAGTGCTTGGTCAGCGAATCTGCCAGACAATCTTCACTTCGTACATGTGCAAGGTCGTGCATCTGTCCGCTGTTGCTTTCCTTTCTCAACATCTGGATCAAATGCATTGTTTCTTTCTGTTCCGGTTGATGGGTTGTGGATGCTGTGGTGACAAGATTGTTCGCATCAGTGCGGATGTGTACATCTGCAATTTCGCCCGTTATGTCTGACCAGAGACCGCGAAGAAATAATGCTGAACCGTAACAACGCATTAGTCCGTGCAGCTCTGCAACAGTAGTGGACATGGTTGTGGCGGTGATCTTTTGCGTCTCATAGTCGACCAGTGAGCCTCTCGAGTTCGATGAGCCCTGGCGAAGATCTCTTTGTTCTGCAAGAAAAATAACATGCGCACGTTGGGATGACTTATCCTCGTTGTTGCGATAGGATGCATCTGGATAGCCAACTATGCGAGTCTTGCCACGAAGGGGCCAGAATCTCATGCTAAGCGGGATGCTTTTGATGGTTCTGACTGTCTTATTAATGGCGCGAACGTCCTCAATGGTTGGTGATGATGCCTTGGATGCACACCTGGCGAATTGATAACCAATGTGGAATTGCGTTCGCGACTGTAACCAGTTGATCTGACCTAGGACACTTGTGTATGCAGTATGCATCTGTGGAGTAAGAGGAGTGTCGTCCTTCAGGTGTTTGTCAAAAGTGATCTCCTGCAGTTCGTCGATGGCAACGTTCTGATGAACATTGATGTATCAACCGTGCTTGTCATCTTGCTTCCATTGGATGCGCTGTCCTACGAAGAGGCAATCATTTTGGTCCTCGGAACCAACCTGAAAATCTTTCCGAAGTCGTCCCAGGATTTCCTTCTCGAACACGTCATCCCCCGTCATAAGAAGATCATCTACATGAAGAGACAGTGCTCCATGAACTTGTCGATTCTTAGCATTGTTACCAGAAACAGGATCCATCAGGTAATCAACTGCTCCTTCTAGATCGAAAGTTGTGGATGATTTCTTTTCACTCACCAATGCGGGCTTCGGAAGCTGCTTGCCGTAGTACACGTATGTGCAACGGTCTGCCCGGGTTGGCACTAGTCCGTATGAACGAAGTGCCGAATCAAGGATGTTCCACCATCTGCGTGGTGCGTCATTCAGCCCATAGGCAGGCTTCTTCATGCGCGCTCCAATGTGTGGTGGATATCCCATTTCAGGAGGTATCTGACAAATGATGTCACGAGACTGGTCGTATGCTTCGCCTTGGAGAAATGCTGTCTTCAAATCCATGTGGAATATATTCCAGCCTTTATTTGAGGCTGCTTGGATTGCAAGGCGGAAACCACTCCTGGATGCAGCAGGACTGTCTGTCTGCTGATCATTCTTCTGCTTGTCTTGGAAGCCTCGGAGGACCCAGCGAGCCTTGGTCTTCAAGAAGTTACCATCCTTGTCTCGCTTCAGGGTTAAGACCCAGCGACCGGTGACCCAGTTCCTGACCTGAATCTTGCGTGTATCGACTAAGTCGAACACTTCATTGTCAAGCCATGATTTGCACTCAAGCTGCTTGGCTTCAAGGAATTGCTTCTGATAAGCTCTTATTTCCGTGGCTGTAGCTTCCTTCCGCTTCTTGCCAATGAGTGCGGATGTGGATGAAGCCTTCAAGGATTCTTGCTTGGATGAATACAGAACTAAGAGTGCACGGTCATCGTCGGTCATGTTCTTGTTCTTGCATAGCTGGTCAACATGATTCTGATCTGTGTGTTTCTGATGAGAGAATCCGCATCGGGGCGATGGGCTGACGGTCCCTTTCACACCTCCAAGAAGGACAGGGTTGCCTTCAATATCTCTCGGAACCGTAAAGGATCCAGTGTTCGCACAGATCTTTTGTTCGGCTGTCAGGAGTGACCAATGCGCTTCATCTAGAACGAGATCAGCTTGGTGATCATCGTAGGATCTGGTCCTTTGAGAGTCTTCTGAATCTCCATCTTCCTGGTCAGTGTATCTCATGGTTCTTTCTGAACTTCCAGTGCCGGATGAGGTTGGAACATGAGGGATCAGTTTTTCCTCACTTTCATAGTGGACCGGCAAATTCGCTGGATTGTTCGGATTATAATTGGGTGAAGATGCAGGATCATGTCTGGGAGAATGCTCAGGTGACTCATCATTGTCATCTGGCTTCTTCTTCTTCTTCCCAGTCTTCTGCTTCTTTGATGGACTCAATTAGCCAGGTTTCGATTGTGACTCAAGTTGCAATCCGGCAGTAGCAAAGCAAGGGCAAAGCTCCCCGATCCATGTTGAGTTTCCACCCTTCAAGAAAAATACGTGGACGACCGAACGTAATGAAACAAATATTGTGTGACCTCATGGCTCCAAATATCTTTCAACAGCCCTGCCCTGGCCTCGACGAAGCGCCACAGCGCGCAGGCCGCCAATCCAAATGGCCCACGATGTGTGCTGCGTGATGCTGAATGGCAGTGGCTGTCATGACCGTGACATGGGGCGATGTGCTTAAGATGTAACATAGTGCAACGCAGCCCGGGTGAAAGCCTAAAGGCGTGCCCAAAACCAATTGAAACAACACCGCCAGACCCCTCCCCCCGGCGAGGTCCGGAAAGGAATGTTAACAAAGGGACCTGACAAGGTGGGGCAAATCTAATCTACATGCGGGTCATCAAGGTGAATTGATTTGTGTTGCCTGCGCATGAGCATCAGCAGCTGCCAGGCAAGCGGGCAAATGTGAACTGACGAACCGCTGGCCCGGGTCCGCAAAAAAGGCATGCCCTGCCCCCCCCCCCCCCCCGTTTGACAGCCCGGGAGCCTGATCACGATCCGTAATCTGCTTAGTTGTTGGCCCTTGTTCTGGTTAGTGTTTTTAATCCGCAACCCGCTGCAAATTGTGGGGCAAAGCATCGAACATCCATGCAAACCAACATGATCCAACCCGTGAACCGCACAATCCGCAATCCGCCAATCACTGGGGATTAGGTTTGCACAATGCTAGGGCAAAAAACGACAATCGACTCTCACCAATGTGCAGCCAAAGAAACATAGCCTCGCCTGGTTCTTGCGAAGTCTTAACCCCATCTTTCAAAATATATGCGAAACACCGTGTCAAGCAACGGAAATATCAAAAAAACTACACATTTTGCCGCGCTTCTTGGCCAAACAAAAAGCGTGCCCCAGGAAATCGCCTCTATGCAAAAATTGTCATTGACTGCGCGTTTTTCAAGCGCTGTTTTTCAACCCAAGAAACTTGCATGTAAGCTCGGCCCTCCCCAAAACAACCATTTTTTTGTCCGTGCCTCAAAACGCGCCTTGACCCCAACCCCCCCTGGCTCGTGAAAGTTAACAGTCTGTGTGTCTGTGTGTCTGTGTCTCTGTGTCTCTGTGTCTCTGTGTGTCTCTGTGTGTCTCTGTGTGTCTCTGTGTGTCTCTGTGTGTCTCTGTGTGTCTCTGTGTGTCTCTGTGTCTCTGTGTGTCTCTGTGTGTCTCTGTGTGTCTCTGTGTGTCTCTGTGTGTCTCTGTGTGTCTCTGTGTGTCTCTGTGTGTCTCTGTGTGTCTCTGTGTCTCTCTGTGTCTCTCTGTGTCTCTCTGTGTCTCTCTGTGTCTCTCTGTGTCTCTCTGTGTCTCTCTGTGTCTCTCTGTGTCTCTCTGTGTCTCTCTGTGTCTCTCTGTGTCTCTCTGTGTCTCTCTGTGTCTCTCTGTGTCCCTCTGTGTCTCTCTGTGTCTCTCTGTGTCTCTCTGTGTCTCTCTGTGTCTCTCTGTGCGCCTCTGTCCTCTGTGCGCCTGTGTGCGCCTCTGTGCGTCTCT